TTGTGATCCCCAGGTTGTGCCAGTCAGCTTTCGTATGATATTGTTTCTAGCTTGAACATCACAGTCCAGAATAACTCCCAGGTATGTGGGTGTGCTGCAATGCTCCATTGAGATGTCTTCCACGCCGGGCATGCGTACTCAGCAACAAAGTAGCAAAGCGCGAGGGCAGATGTCTTCACTGTGTCTGGTTGTGATCCCCAGGTTGTGCCAGTCAGCTTTCGTATGATATTGTTTCTAGCGCCCACTTTTTGCTTGATTTTCAGGCAGTGCTTCTTATAGATCAGAGACACAACCAGAAGCGACTCCCATGTGATTTCCTCTGCAAACACGAACTGAGCAACACCCACAAAGCAAAAGCAACGTACCAGCAAAACAAAACCATGTGCCCATCGCTTTGCAACACGACACATGTGCTCCAAAACATCCTGCAGCACATTTTGCTCTAGTTTTTCAATGAATATCTCATCATAAGTGTCCCAGCCAATTCAATACACTGCGTGGCAGCCACAAACACAAAGTTTCTGGAGTAGAACAACTACTTTCCAGGACGTGACACTTTCAAGCCAGACTCTCTAACTACACAGATATCTAGAAGTACAATGTAAATACACAAATGTCCTGTTGCTATAAACTTCAGCAAAAGTATCCGTTCAATTAATCATGAGAATACTCAATCTATTTGTATAATACACACTATACAAATTAATTAAGTATTCTCGTGATTAACTGAACTGATACTTTTGGCAAGTTTGCACTGTGCCAAAATACCGAATGAAGAAATAGATTTCGGCGAACCTGGCCATGCATTCACAAAGAAATCCTAGAGTTGGAAGACCTTGACACTTGGGAGTTGTAGTTGATGGAGTACAGAAGAGCATTCTGTAGTCCCCTGGCGATGGAATTGAACCAAACTTGCCACACAGAGCTCCCAAGACCAACAGAAAACACTGGAAGGCTTTGGTGGGCACTGACCTTGAGTTTGGGAGTTGTAGTTTACCTACATCCAGAGAGCACTGTGGACTCAAACAATGATGGATCAGGACCAAACCTGGCACAGATACTCAATATGCCCAAATATGGACACTGGTGGAATTTTGGGAAAATAGATCTTGACACTTGGAAATTGTAGTTGCTGGGATTTACAGTTCACCTACAATCAAAGAGCATTCTGAACTCCACCAACGACAGAATTGAACCAAACTTGGTGCACAGAGTTCCCAAGACCAAAAGAAAACACTGGAAGATATGCCCAAGTGTGAACACTGGTGGAGTTTGGGGAAAATAGACCTTGACACTTGGGAGTTGCAGTTGTTGGGATTTATAGTTCACCTACAATCAAAGAACATTCTGAACTCCATCTACAATGGAATTGAACCAAACCTCACACAGAGCTCCCAAGACCAACAGAAAACTCTGGAAGGCTTTGGTGGGCTTTGACCTTGAATTTGAGAGTTGTAGTTCACCTAAATCCAGAGAGCATTGTGGACTCAAACAATGATAGATCTGGACCAAACTTGGTATGAATACTCAATATGCCCAAATGTGGACACTCGTGGAGTTTGGGGAAAATAGATCTTCACATTTGCGAGTTGCAGTTGCTGGGATTTATAGTTCGCCTCCAATCAAAGAACATTCCAAACTCGACCAACGATGGAATTGAACCAAACTTGCCAGACAGAGCTCCCAAGACCAACAGAAAACTCTGGAAGATATGCCCAAGTGTGAACACTGGTGGAGTTTGGGGGAAATACATCTTGACATTTGCGAGTTGCAGTTGCTGGGATTTATAGTTCGCCTCCAATCAAAGAACATTCTGTACTCCACCGACAATGGAATTGAACCAAACCTGCCACACAGAGCTCCCAAGACCAACAGAAAACTCTGGAAGGCTTTGGTGGGCTTTGACCTTGAATTTGAGAGTTGTAGTTCACCTAAATCCAGAGAGCACTGTGGACTCAAACAATGATAGATCTGGACCAAACTTGGTATGAATACTCAATATGTCCAAATGTGAACACTGGTGGAGTTTGGGGAAAATAGACCTTGACACTTGGGAGTTGCAGTTGCTGGGATTTATAGTTCACCTCCAATCAAAGAACATTCTGTACTCTACCGACAATGGAATTGAACCAAACTTGTCACATAGAGCTTCCAAGACCAACAGAAAACACTGGAAGATATGCCCAAGTGTGAACACTGGTGGAGTTTGGGGAAAATAGATCTTGACACTTGGGAGTTGCAGTTGCTGGGATTTATAGTTCACCTACAATCAAAGAGCATTCTGAACTCCATCTACAATGGAATTGAACCAAACCCCACACAGAGTTCCAAGACCAACAGAAAACACTGGAAGGCTTTGGTGGGCATTGACCTTGAATGTTGGAGTTGTAGTTCACCTACATCCAGAGAGCACTGTGGACTCAAACAATGATAGATCTGGACCAAACTTGGTATGAATACTCAATATGCCCAAATGTGAACACTGGTGGAGTTTTGGGGAAATAGACCTTGACACTTGGGAGTTGCAGTTGCTGGGATTTATAGTTCGCCTCCAATCAAAGAACATTCTGTACTCCACCGACGATGGAATTGAACCAAACTTGGTGCATAGAGCTCCCAAGACCAACAGAAAACACTGGAAGATATGCCCAAGTGTGAACACTGGTGGAGTTTGGGGAAAATAGATCTTGACACTTGGGAGCTGCAGTTGCTGGGATTTATAGTTCACCTACAATCAAAGAGCATTCTGAACTCCATCTACAATGGAATTGAACCAAACCCCACACAGAGCTCCCAAGACCAACAGAAAACACTGGAAGGCTTTGGTGGGCATTGACCTTGAGTTTGGGAGTTATAGTTTACTTACATCCAGAGAGCACTGTAGATTCAAACAATGATAGATATAGACCAAACCTGGCACAGATACTCAATATGCCCAAATGTGAACACTGGTGGAGTTTGGGGAAATTAGACCTTGACCTTTGGGAGTTGTAGTTGCTGGGATTTATAGTTCACCTACAATCAGAGAGCATTCTGAGCCTCACCAATGATAGAATTGGGCCAAACTTCCCACACAGAACCCCACGACCAAATGAAAAGATTGCAACCCAAATGGTTCAGCAGATTCCCCTGGTTGTCCTACTCGTTCCACGTACAAGGTGCGCTCCGTAAATACGGTGTTGTGTTTGGAGAAGACGTTGGTGCTCCTCAGAAGATTGGAGCATGGGTCGCTAAACCATTGGTGTGATGGAAAAATACACTAGGGGTCTTCAAGAGACCCCCACAAAATAGGAGTCCCACCAGAACAACTTGGCTGAAGTTGGGTTGTTGTGAGTTTTCTGGCCTGTCTGGCCAAGTTCCAGAAGCATTTTCTCCTGACATTTTGCCTGCATCTAA